TTCCTTGCTTGAATTGTGGCCTTTTTGATTCATCCTTCTTCTTATCATTGGATTGGGCCTTACCCATGCACCATTTTCCAATGATTTCATTAAGCCTGGCAATCTCCTTTTTTATAGCCTTCATGTTTGCAAGGTTAGTGGAATAGACATTCAAATCAAGATTATAACATTTTCCACAACCTTGACTAGTGGAGGGAGTTGAGGCTTCCTTTGTCTTAGAGGGATGTGAGTTGCTTTCCCAAAGAACGCCATATTGTAGCTCAAGTTCTTTGTGCTTTTTATCCAAGTCACAATACTTTTTCTTGAGTGCTTTATTTGCTTTCTTTGTGATAGCATGGTCCTCTTGCTCTTTGGCCAAAGCCTTGCGTAAAGGATTCCACCTTACTTCTCTCTAATGCAAGAGCTTCCTTGCTAGCAATGTAGAGATCCTCTTGTTTGATAGAGTTTTCTCTCTAGATTCTAGCTCGGCTTGGACACTCTCTAACTCCTTCATTAGTTTAGTGATGAATAATTTGGTCTTTCCATCCAAATTTTTAGTTATCATGTTTATTTCTTCATCACTAGATTCATCATCACTAAAGCTATCACTAATATCACTAGGAGGTGGAGGTGGAGACTTGGATTTTGGTTTTACCTTCTCACCCTTTGCCATGAGACAAATATGAGGGGAGTAGTAGTCATCATCGGACATGTTGTTGAAGAGCCTTAGTGTAGGGGATGACTTGTGAATAGCAACGGTTGCAATCTTCTCATCCTCTTCATTTGTGCTCTCTCTAGTTGAATCCCATTCATGCCCAATGTGAGCCTCTCCCATGTACTTCTTGCTCTTTCTATGATCGGCCTTGTCCTCTTTCTTGTCCTTCTTATACTTGTTATCTTTGATCTCATATGAACACTTGGCAATAAAGTGATCGGTACTACCATAATTGTAGCATGTCCTCTTCTTCTTGTTTAGAAACTTTCTTTTCACTACTTTGTAGCCTTGCTTCTTTAGCCCCTTATGAAATCTCTTCATAAAGAGAGCAACATCATCCACTTCTCATATTGATCATCATCATTTTTACTCTCACTTGAGGATGATGTAGTCTCTACTTGCTCTTGGACTTGCTTGCTTGCTTTGGGCTTGCTTGTTGAAGCTTGCTTGTTGATCTTGGACTTGCTTGTAGAGCCATGCTTGCTTGATTTGTTGGCCTTGAGAGCTACATCCTTGATCTTTATGACATCTAGCTTTGCTTGTAACTCACCAAGCCTCTTCCTCTCATTTGCTTGTTCTCTTTGCATGTCAAATGTCAAGATCCTCCCAAGTACGTCATTTGGTGTGAAGTACTCAAACTTCTTGTCTCTAATTAGAGTCACTATGGTCTCATTTCTAGGTGAGTAAGCTTCCAACATGATCTTCACAACCTTATGATCATCTAAGTCATCATAACCATAGCCTCTAATCTTACCCACCATAGTCATCAATCTATCAAATATCTCTTGTGGCCCTTCTCCATCCATGATTATGAACCGGTTGAGTTTTGCCATCAACAAATTAATTCTTGCCTTCCTCACTTTGTCAACCCCTTCATGTGTAAGGTGCAAAGTATCTCATATTTACTTGGCAACATCAACACCAATGACTCTATTGTACTCATCACCATCCAAAGCACTAAGCAACACATTTGTGGCTTGACCATTGAGATGAATAATTCTCATTTCATCTAGTGTTGGATTCTTGGGATCAACCGGTGGCCCAAATCCATTGCAAACAACCTCCCAAATACTAGGGTGAAGACCTATAAGATAGGCTCTCATCAAGTGCTTCCACATGGCAAAGTTAGTCCCATCGAAATGAGGTAACTTGCCCACGGACATATTGATGAAAGACTTCCGATCAAGGTTAGTCATAGGCATAGAGGAATAGTTAAAGGATATGACGGCATATTTGTTGTTGGAGTCAACTTTGCCCTTTCCTTTCTTTTCCTTCTTGCCCCCTTTGACACGTGGTAGGACTCATCATCATCTCCATCTTTGGAACTACTTAAGATGTCACTTGATGATGCATTGGTTGCCTTCTCTTCTTCTTCCTTCTTCTTCCTAGCATCTCTTCTTTTTCTTCTTGCTTCTCTCTTGAGCTTTCTTTCTTCTTTTCTTTGCTTCTTATCTTTAAGCCTTTGCTGCTCCTTCTTCTTTTCTCTTGCTTCTCTTTTTGCTTTTCTAGCTTCCTTCCTTTTTCTTCTTTCTTCATCATTTGAGCTTTCTCGACATCGGTAGCTTCAAGTTGTGGGAGTGTGATATTGCTTGCTGTAGAAGCACTTAGCTCACTGTTGTCGGTGTCATGCAGCTCTACATCCTTCGGATCAATGTCCACCGGCTTCACGCCACTAGTACCTCCTCCGGGCTCCATACCTCACGCGGTGAAGTGCACATGAGGTAACCTGCTCTGATACCACTTGTAGGATCTCTGGTTAGCCTAGAGGGGGTGAATAGGCCTGTTTAAAACAAAACTCAAGTAGATGTCAAATTTCACCCATGGCACTGCCACTCTGACTTCGTAGCACTACCGGACAGCAGCACTGCTGGGCTATAACAGCGGCACAACCACACTTGCAGACAACTACGAGTCAGAGTTCAAAATCAGTAAATAGAAACTTAGATCGGAGAAATTCCTTAGCTTCCTACAGGTATGAGGTTCACAGATTGAGAGCTAGAAGTGGTAGGAACTCCACACACAAGTTGATCGGCCACAAACCCTAGAATCTACCTCAACAACAATGTGAAATGCAAGTGAAGTAAATCAAGCACAAGGTAACACAATGATTTATCATGCGGTTCAGCTCGCCACCAAGGCTTGCCTAAGTCCACGTTGTTGAGGTTGCCACTAAGGCTAGGGCTTTGCAACCCTTCCTCATTCTCAAGTCAAGAGAGTTACCTCTTGACATGAGGGGTGAGTTTACTAGCTGCAAGAGATGGTTACAAACCTCTTGATGCTACCACATAAGTTGGCAAGCACCACGGACGATGCTCTAGCTGGCTAGGAGCCAAGCTCCAAGAGTAACAAACACAACCGCCGACCAAAACATGAACCAAGTGCTCTTTAGGCTTTGGGAATCGGTGGATCTACTCTCTAATCGAGTTTGGCACCTTTCTCTCTCAAGGATTGATGGGGAAATCAATGGAGAAGCTTGGGAGCTCAAGGTCACCAATGGAGGAGAGAGAGATGAGCACTTTTTCTATTCTTGGGTGAACTGAACAGTTCAGAGAGAGAAGAGAGACGTTGGAGAGGAAGGGGAAGGTATAAATACCCCCCAGCCCCCAATGATCACTTAAGTCACAGTAGTGTCGTGGCTCAAGTGCGGCAGTGCCTCTCTCTAGGTGCGGCACTGCCGCACAAAGCAAGACAGCAAGGGTAAGAGTGAAGTGTTGGCTGTCTTGGCTGAGTAACTGAGGATGTAGGTGTAAGATAGAGCACTTGGTAGCACATATTAGTTCAAGCATTGTGTCCCCCTTTATAGCATAGCTTTTCCTATACTCAGATTCAAAATATAAAAGAATTTAAACCTCCTTTGAGTTTGAAGCCATCGACATTTGTAATTGGGGGCACCTCTGTTTCGTATAACATACTCTATTATATATTCCCTACTTGTCATCTCGATAAATCTCATTAATCCTCTAATTACGTGGTCATTATCACCAAAACCCATAATTAGGGCTTGATTACACTTTTCAGTAAGCATGGTGCTTATACGATGCTCTGCTTGTGAGTACACCCTATTCCCTGGTTGTGTGGTAGCAGCGGGAGGTGACAGCCCCGTCTATCCTTTATAGTCCATACCGAGTTGAATAGGTTCTTAAATTGTAGGACTGTAGTCACGTCAGTAGAGTTATCCTTTGTGGTGCTCTATTGTCTAAGCGGTGTCCCGAAGTACACAAGAGTAGAGTTAGTCTTAGCTATAGTTGGGTGTATATATATACTTTGACCATGTAATAAGAATATCATAGGAATCTATCTCACCCGTTGTTCTCCTGAGGTGACTAGTTTACATTATCTTAGTGATTTATCCCCTGAGTGTCATTATGCTTTATTCCTATCATTACATTCACCCCTACTCTAGCTATGCTTGTATGTTGATTAGCAGATACTCCTTTGTTACTCAATAAATCTTTACTCCATTGTTTTCTTGTGGTAAAAATATAAATAACGATACCTGGAATACTCCTGGTAAAATGCTACAATGGTATTTTGTGCGCTTGCGAAATCCTTCGTATTCTATTTGCGTTAATAAATACCAACATTAACCAATCTTCAATACCAAATAAGTTTTTTTATAATACTCCACACCAAGGTCCCACTTACCATTAGTTTTCGCTATAGGGTTTTGAGGACCATCTTAAACATTTATCATTTTTCTTCGTGCTTCTTTGATTGACCACGGCTTTAAAGCAATGTTTCTATCACTATCTTTTTATGTTCCTACGTTTTGGTTCTACAAGTATATGGTGGTTTCACCTAGTAATTAGGTGTGAAAGATTTAAGATAAATTAGAATGGGCCACTTAAGCGCTGGTGTCAAACATCATAAGCCTTTCCTTGTTTCAAGCCTCAAGTCATCCTTTCATGCAAGTACAACATTTCAATGTGCTCACCTTTTCTTTTTGTGCCCCTTGCTACCCCACCCAACTGTTCAAACTTAAAGGTGGAGTTTTACGTAGACGGTGTAGTTAATAAGCCCTGCTTCCTAAGCACTTCCTAGATAACTATGCTAGTTAATTACAGTCATTAAAGACCTTAGGCAACCCAAGAGGTGTGTACGGCTGCCAAGGCACCTATCTGATTAGCTATGCTCTAGTGAGCTGTTTGTAATCAATGCAATGTCTATCTCTATATATAATCAAGGAGACGGCCTGGGGTTTGTGGCTTTTCAGGCTAATCAAGTATGTGTTACCTCCAACATTTGGTATCAGAGATAGGTTAGACACCAGAGAGCCACGAGGCCAACTCCTCACCTTCTCCACCCCATGTTGACCTCTGCTGAGCGCGCTGCCAGGCTCAAGGCCAAGGGAACCGGCGATGGAGAGCTGGGCGACTCCTCCGGCCGTGCCGTGCGCTTGAAGGCTGTAGAGGAAGCAGCAGCGCTGGTAGTCCAGGCAACAAAGCAGGCGGCGGCTGCTGCAGAGGCGGCAACAAGGACGGCGCAGGAGCTGCGGGCCAAAATTGCTGCTGAGAAGGGAGAAGAAGAGGATGCAGAGGAGGAGGAAGAGGAGGCGGAGAGCAGGAATCGGGGGCTATGGACTCCATCGCGAGACAGGAGGCACTCGCAGTCACCACTGCGGGACCGGAGGCGCGGCCACGGCAGCGGTCGCTACGAATCACCGCACGGCAGAGTGGTGTACCGCGACTCCGGTAGCAGCACATCGTGGCCGATGCTGGACAAGTCGAACTACTACGAGTGGAGTCAGACCATGAAGCTGAGGATGCAGGCGCGCGATCTCTGGGACGTCATCGAGGGCGGCCCTGTCCAGTTTCACGATGACAGGCGTGCACTAGAGGTGATTGTCGGGGCCATGCCCAAGGAGATGGGCATCCCACTCCTCGACAAGGCTACGGCGAAGGAGGCGTGGGACGCCATCGCTGCGACTCGCATCGGCGTGGACCGGGTCCGTCGAGCAACGCTGCAGCGCCTACGAAGCGATTGGGAGAACATCGGCGTCAACCCCGGCGAGCAAGTGGAGGATTTCGCCCTGCGTCTGTCAACTCTGCACCAGCAGCTTGTCATTCATGGTGACAAGGACATCACTGAGGAGCGTGTGGTGGAGAAGTTTCTGCGCACGGTGCCAGCCAAGTACGCGCAGATTATTGTCGCCATTGAGCAGTTCCTCGACTTTGAGGCGCTCACTCTTGAGGAGGTGACTGGAAGGCTCAAGGCGGTGGATAATCGCGAGGAACAAGCGCTGACCGAGCCGGTGGCCATCAACGGCAAGCTGCTGTACACCGAGGAGCAGTGGAGAGCGCGCTGGAGGAAGGAGAAGAAGGGAGATGATGCCGGTGGTTCTGGATTCAGGAACCAGCACGGTGGCGGTGGACGTAGCCGCGGTGGTGGACGAGGACGAGGCAGAGGCGGTGGACGTGGTGGCGGACGAGGAGATGGCAATGTTGCTGGCCGCGTCGGCCCCAACACCTGCCTCAACTGCAACCAGGAGGGCCACTGGGCACGTGAGTGTCCCCAGCCGCGCCGTGAAGATGCAGAGCGCGGCGGTGGAGGTGGAAACCGTGCTGGCCGCGGCGGTGGCAATCGTGGTGGAGGTCGTGGCGGCGGAAATCAGGCTGGGCAGCGTGGCGGGAACCAAGGAAGGCATGAGGCGCGCGCCCAGTACGCCGAGTGCGATGAAGATGGCGCTCTGTTTCTGGCACATGGCTTCATTAGCCTGGAACAGAGCACGCTGGCGCACAGCTACACGGCGCAGCACGTCGAGTTCTCCGAGCCACGTGCTCGCGCCTATCTCGGCGTGGACGAAGAAGAGGTGGACAGCGGCTGGTACCTGGACTCCGGCGCGACGCATCACATGACCGGGCGCCAAGAGTTCTTTGCTGATCTGAACACTGGCGTTCGAGGAACGGTCCGGTTCGGGGACGCGTCGAAGGTAGAGATCAAGGGCGTCGGGTCTATTGTTTTCCAAGCCAAGACCGGTGAGCAGAGGGTTCTTCATGGCGTCTACTTCATTCCGGCGCTGAAGAACTCTATCCTAAGTCTGGGACAGCTTGATGAAGGAGGGTCCAAGGTTGTGATTGACGATGGCGTGCTTCGCATTTGGGACAAGAGCCGCCGTCTGCTCGCCAAGGTACACAGAGGGAAGAATAGGTTGTATACTCTGCATCTTGAGGCTGCACAACCTCTCTGTCTCGCGGCACGCAAGGATGAAGAAGCGTGGCAGTGGCACGAGCGTTTCGGCCATCTGCACTTCGACGCACTCCGGCGACTCAGCAAGGAGGAGATGGCGCGCGGGATGCCGGTGGTTGACCATGTTAAGCAGGTGTGTGACACCTGCGTTACCACCAAGCAGAGGCGACGTTCTTTTCCGGTTGCAGCAGCATACCATGCCCAGAATCAGCTTGAGCTGGTGCACGGTGACCTGTGCGGTCCGGTCACGCCAGCGACACCGGCGGGCAACCGTTATATCTTGTTGCTCGTCGATGACGCCACCCGCTTTATGTGGGTTGTGTTGCTGCCATCGAAGGACGCAGCAGCAGAAGCAATTAAGAAGGTCAAGGTGGCAGCAGAGGTGGAAAGCGGGCGCAAGTTGAAGGTCCTGCGCACCGACAATGGCGACAAATTCACTGTCGCGGAGTTTACTGCATACTGCGCTGATGAAGGTATTAAACGGCATTTCAGTGCCCCTTATTCACCGCAACAGAACGGTGTTGTTGAGCGCAGGAACCAAACGGTGGTGGCCATGGCACGAGCTTTGCTCAAGCAACGCCAGATGCCCTCTCGGTTTTGGGGGGAGGCTATGATGACGACTGTGCACATTCTGAATCGATCCCCGATGAAGGCGCTGAAGAATGCCACTCCTTATGAGGCGTGGCACGGCCGGGCACCAACAGTCGGCCACCTCAAGGTCTTTGGCTGTGTGGCTTATACCCGGCGGCTTACTCAGCTTCGCAAGCTCGATGACCGCGGCGAGGCTGGCGTGTTTATCGGCTATGCGGAAGGGGCCAAGGCATACCGTATCTATGATCCAGTGTCCCAGCGCGTGCGTGTCAGCCGCGATGTGGTGTTCGACGAAGGCCGCGGCTGGGACTGGGCATCACCGGCAGCAGGCACACCAGAAGCAGCGAGCAGTGAGTTTACTGTTGAATTCCCATGGGCGGAGGAACTCCCTGAAGCAGGAAGTTCAGCGTCGCCTTCACTATCTCCTCCGCCACATCCTGCATCGCCTGGTTTCTCTCCGGTGAATGCAGGAGAGCCTGCAGCGGAAGCAGAGGAGCCCGCAGCGGAGGCAGAGGCGCCTGCGTCGCCCAGAACACCTACACCAGCTCCAGCAAGTCCTCAGGTTGAGCATGTGACCCCCCTGGAGGATGATGATGAAAGGGTGGATGCCTGCCACGACGATGAAGAACTCCGCTATCGGAAGATTCATGACATTATTGGTGATCAGCCAACCCCTCCGCCGGCGCAGCGGCTGTTTGCAGAACTGAATCTCACCCATTCTGGTGAGCCTACAAGCTATGAAGAAGCCAAAGATGATCCAGATTGGCAAGCAGCGATGAAGGAGGAGCTGAGATCAGTAGAGCGGAATGGGACTTGGGAACTTGTTTCTCCCCGTCCTGGTCACCGTCCAATTTCACTGAAATGGGTGTTTAAGCTGAAGAAGGATGAACATGGAGCTGTAATTAGGCACAAGGCAAGACTTGTGGCCCGTGGTTTTGTGCAGCAGGAAGGAGTTGATTATGAAGATGCTTTTGCACCGGTTGCAAGGATGGAATCAGTGCGTGTTTTGCTTGCCCTAGCAGCACAAGAGGGATGGGCAGTACATCACATGGATGTGAAGTCTGCATTTTTGAATGGAGAACTCTAGGAGGAGGTTTATGTTACACAGCCTCCAGGTTTTGTAGTACCAGGAGAGGAGAAGAAAGTGTACAGGCTGCACAAGGCTCTGTATGGCCTAAGACAGGCTCCTCGGGCATGGAATGCCAAGCTTGACTTGACTCTCAAGCATATGGGTTTTGGCGCAGAATGTGTATGAAGTCGCTATGTACAGAAGGGATCGGTGACTCCCTCACTGGTAATTGGAGTCTATGTTGATGATTTGATCATCACAGAGTCAATCAGCAGAAGATTGAAGCTTTCAAGACAAAGATGAAGCAAACCTTTGAAATGAGTGATTTGGGTCTTCTGTCTTTCTATCTGGGAGTTGAGGTGAGACAATCGGAGGGAGCATCGCCTGAAGCAAACCCATTATGCTAAGAAGATACTTGAGCTTGGTGGTATGGCGGGTGTTGTAATCCAGCCACCACACCCATGGAAGAAAGGTTGAAATTGAGCAAGGAAAGCACAAAGAAAGAAGTAAATCCAACTCAATCTGTAAGACCTGGTTGGCGCGGCTTGAGATACCTAGTGCACACAAGACCAGATTTGGCTTTTGGTTTGTAGGGTATGTTAGCGATTTCTAGAGAAGCCAACAACCCAACATCTTCAGTCAGTGAAGAGGATCTTGAGATACCGGCCGGTACTCTAGATCATGGGCTCTGCTACACCGAACAACAGCAAAGCAAGGTTTGTGGGTTACAAATGATTTAGATTTGGTGGAGATGTTGATTCAAGCAAAAGCACAACTAGATGTTTGTTCTTCCTTGGAACCACTGGTCACCGGCGATCATCAAACAGAGAGTTGTTGCTCTGTCTAGCTGTGAGGCTGAATATGTGGCGATGACAACAAATTGCAACCCAAGCTTTGTGGTTGTTAAGACTGCTTGCAGATTTGTTGGGAAGAAAAGTTGAGGTGGTGGAACTCGTAGACAATAAGTCCGCTTTCTGCTTTTGCAAAGAATCCTGCTTTTCCATGACAGAGCAAGCATATTAGAATCAAGCATCATTTCATCGAGAGATTGTGTGGAAGAAGGTAGCATCAAGACGAGTTCATTCCCACTGCAGATCAGCTTCGATATATCTTGACTAAAGCCTTGGGCAAAACCAAGTTGGAAGAGATGAGGAGCGAGATTGGGATCAAGGAGATCAAGATTAGTTGAAGTAGGTCTTAGGGGAGAAATGTAGTTAATAAGCCATGCTTCCTAAGCACTTCCTAGATAACTATGCTAGTTAATTACAGTCATTAAAGACCTTGGGCAGCCCAAGAGGTGTGTACGGCTGCCAAAGGCACCTATCTGATTAGCTATGCTCTAGTGAGCTGTTTGTAATCAATGCAATGTCTATCTCTATATATAATCAAGGAGACGGCCTGGGGTTTGTGGCTTTTCAGGCTAATCAAATCTGTGTTACCTCCAACAGACGGTGATTGAGCTAGGTTTGTGTACCCCCGATCGGCTGCCTATGGAAGATGGAAGACCCTGCTTCGCAAAAGTCTTTGTGATGTATTTTTGTTTTAGACCATTGGGTTATTTTGTAATAAAGTTATTGATTTTTGTAATAAACACTATAACGTATCACTGGTAATATCATCATTATATGAATAAACCGTTCTTGGCATGCATGTGATTTGTATTCAGTTTTATTCTTAAAACCAGATGTACCAGTGTCGGCCACAGCGGAATGCTGCAACAAAAAGCCAATTGATGGTTACGAGTTCTAAGCATGGGATTTCTAGATCTTCTTCAGTGGAGTATGCAAATACTAAATTTGCTGGAACAAACACTATTTTGTTACATTACCTGTTAATTGCAACAAACAATTTTTATTTCTGAATTAGGCTTCTCCTGTATCTATTTTCTTTAGTGGAGTATGCAAATTTAGAAACTGGTTATGAGAAATCAGGTTAGACTGAACTATTTTACTCCTTTCCTTTGAAAATCACCATGGCATGTTTGTTTTCTTTATTTATGGAGAATCGCACCAATGTTTGGTGATTAGAACACATGAAGTTGTCTTGACTTACTATGCTTTGAATAAATACAAGCAAGAGTGTATATCTTGAGGTCAGTTAACCAACCATTTTTTTTATTCCAATGTGAGGGTATTATACTAGATGTGTATGAAATGTACCAAGTCCTTCACACATCCAATCGTCCTAGTTTGAGAAACTTTCCATAATAACAACCAACACGTTATCCATCCTTTATTTGCTATACATATGAATCATGATTCATGGAACCTATTTAAAGTCTGTGCTTTCGGTATAAGAGGAATTAATGTTCTTTTGAGTAAGTGTTACAAGATAGTGGGTACAAATTTGTTTCCACAGCAGTGGTTGTGACCATTCTATTTTTTTATGAGTTTCTTTCTCTGTACATATTAGACTATTAAGTTGTTGTCTTTTGCTAGGCTTTGAACAATATAAATAGAAATATTGGAAAAAGGACCATTGGAGAGGTATGTGTTTCTATTCTCAAATTAGATAGAAATCAAGTTACATATATTGGACCAGGACCATCAATTTTTTGTGTGAATTCTTAACTAATAAAGCAATTAGGAGGTCATTCTACTATTAGCTTCATATATGTCCCAGAGTTCAGGTATTCAAATGATTGCACTTAAGTTACACCTTTGCTTCACAGGGAGTACCAAACTGCTGAATACTAATTTTGGTGCTCTAACTCACTATAACATTGAAGCGAAGGCTCTAAGTAGCACTGCAGGGGCTTCAATTTGGTTCACTTGTCTGTACAACATCAGTTGTAGGTTTAAGCAGGTGAACAACATTTTACAAAATTCAATCATAAAATGAATCAACAGGGTGTCAAAAGTGCAATATAATTTCTAATAAAAACTATGCAATATGATGTGTCACTGTGATTGAACTACATGATAAGCTGATAACTTAGAGCTCTAGTTCTTTTGAACATAAGCCACAAGAGCTCTTCTTTTCAGTTAATATGAAAAGAGTCATATGTACACGAAATATGTACATGGAGGGGCAAAAGCCCAAAAGACGTTGGGTTGCACACCTCACTATGTGAAAGCTCATTGGATCGGAGAAAGAATAATAATCTACACTAAGAAACTCCAGAGAATCTACACTAAGAAACCCATACGAGCACTAAGGGGAGTTGCATGCGGTGTGCCCTTCTGTGAAGGTCCAGATTTTCCTTTGATCCGCCCCGTTGACCTAGGTTGTGTTTTGGTTCAACTTCTGAAAAGTGCTTCTGCTGCTAAAAAGCATAACACCAACCAAACGGATAGAATCAAAAGTTGCTTTTGTAGAACCAAATGCTTTCATGTAGAGAAATTTTCACAACACCTTGGACTCTCCCGTTGGCCTTTTGCTTTCTGCTTTTTCAAATGAGTGGAAACAGAGAGAAGTTTTACAGGTGTTTCAAGGAAGATAAAGAGAAGGAATAGATTTTATAGTTGTTTTAACCAAACATTTTACAGCTTTTTCATAGCACATAGCTCACAATAGTTTTTTCATAGCTCATATCTCACAGCTGAATCAAACAGACCCATAGAGCTCTAATTACATGATAAAATGTGCTAAATTTTGAGTTCCTATCTTTGTACTCTGCTAAGTGCTTTCAAAAAGGAAGCCAAAGTCGACAAAGATTTATATGTCACAATATAGTTGTACCGAGGTTTATTTTTTAAATTTTATAGGTTGAGTCATAGTGACACCTTGGTACATCAGTGTGAAGGGATGCACCCACTAGCAGGTGCAATGCTCTTGAGGTATATTTATTTAATCAACTCCACCCTATACAAGGCCCAAGGAAATGTAGTAGTATGAAGTGATCCATAGTCATTACTATCTAATTACTTGGACCATGAATTCGCCAAACAATACAAATCGTATCCTGCCCTAGAGGCTTGTGCGTTTGGTGTTTGTAAACAAAGTGATTTGTCTCTTCCAAGCTGGAAAATTGTTTCACAAAGCAGCTTGTTTCCTGATAATAAGATCATAGTATTCCGATGGTATTTTGGATATTTTGTTAAAAATGTGGATTTGTTATGTGATGTCAATAGTAATCTAAAATTACCATTATATGACCATGGTAATAGCTTAAAGACTGAATGTTTGTAATAACTAACTGTTAATTACTGTTGTTTTAAAGACATATTATATTGATCTTTGGAGTGGTAGTAGGCTAGTAGCTCACCCGTGATTTTTATTTTGAACTGCGTACTTGAATTATGTAAATTTTGTGTTTCCGTATTCTTTATTTATGATTGTTTTGATGCTGTTATAAGTAAAATCATGTTTGCTTATCCCATTATAGCTTAAACAGCATGTTGCCGAGATAAAAGTAGACTATAGTGTCAAGAATTGCTAAACCTCAACCGGTTGATTTAGCCCCTCCCAACAACCGATTTTTGGGCCATCCGATCTTGCGCGGACGGCCAGCAGGTGGCGCGGCCGACGAGCAAGCGAGGCGTGCAACGGCGAGGCAGCAGGCGCGGCCAGCCTCGGAGCTCGCAACCCCAGCCATGGCGGGCGCGTGGCCCCGGCGGCCGGCGGCCGGCGACGAGGAGGGCCAGCTGCTTGGGGGAGAGCCGCACCGCGCCGCCGCATCATCGTGGCCACCGCTTGGGGGAGAATCAAGCCGCTCCGGGGACCAGGCGCTGCCACTGCCGTTCTGGGAACCGGACGAGAGCCGATAGACAAGAGGGAGAGATGAGTATCTGCCGCTTGACTGATTTGTTATGAGAAAAAAATATTGTTCGTTGGCTGAAAAAGTACGGCTTATAAGCCAAGCGAATAGGACGATCATGTTTACACGGTTTGGGGCTTTTGGGCTGGCTGGCCGGCCGTTTTCTGGGCCCATCAGTGTCTTAGCTGCAGCTAAATGAAGCCCACTGCATTTTGGGAAAAAATTGTTTTGGTATTTGTGAATAATTTTTGAACAATTTAAAATATATTTCTCTGGTATCTGCAATCCATAAAATATTTTGTAAATTTTTCTAAAAATTTTGGTATATATTTATCTGAGATATGCGACCCATAGAAGCATAAGTTGTGTTATCCCTAAATTACAGCACTCTGTCCAACAAATTACACGGAAGAAATGATTGTGAATATAGTAATAAGACAACGTAAATATAGTTAAAAGACAGTGTAATGAAGAAATCGTTGTGAATATAATAATAAGACAGTGTAAATATAGCTAAAAGACAGTGTAAATGCATGGGTAAAATTCAGTTGTTAGGAGCAAAACGACTGACCGTCACCTAGATAGGTTGGTGGCTTAATATAATATTTTTTTTTCATGATCTTCGTGTTGAAAAATTTTCAACCAACGCCCGAACCATAAACCTTTTACTTCTGCGTGGGAAACTCCCCTCAGCTTTTCTTCAAATCAAAGAAAAAAATGTCACAGTACTGCGTAGCATCTGCTGGCATAAAGCAAAAGAATTCCATTCCCGTTAAAGCATGCCCTGAACTGCACATCTTTGCTTTCTTCTACACAGAGGTGAAAATTATGCTGGTGAGAAAAAAAAAAGGATACAACTTCAGCGGAGGAATGTTCTTTATTCGCCAACGCTGACATATATTCCAAGCGTTGGCAGCAGGTTAACCGCACAGTGAGAGGACCTCAAAAGCAAGGAACACACACGTAGCCCTTCTTGTCGTGATCAACGAGCAAGCGCCAATGGACGCAGGAGACTGAAAGAGGACGCAGAATCAGATGCCGGAATTGCATCGCGATGCCTTGATGAAGTGTGTGTTGCGTGGATGAATTGTGTGTTGCGTATGCTTTTTCTCCCAGTGAATCCTTCCCTAACTATAAATGCAGAGCGCGCGGCACTGCATTTTGCAACGCAGCCAAGATCACCGCGCTCTCTCGAACATCTCCTGACCAAAGCGGATCGATCCTCGTCCAGCACCACCGGGGCACCGGGCTTCAGGCAGCATGGCTGACGACGACCAGCAGCCGCCGGCGCAGCGGTACTGGTTCCCGTACTGGACCGCGCCGCCGCCCGCGCCTGCCCCTGCTCCACGGCCGGCCGTCCGCCCGCAGCTGTCGAGGCGGGAATCTCGCCCGGCACCGCAGCAGCCATCGCCGCCTCCTGCAACAGCAACAGCGTCGCCGTCGCGGCGACCGCCGCACCCGCAACAGGCGGCGACGCCGGGGTCCAGAGGCGCTGGCGGTGGTGGCCCCGCTCCACCGGCGCCCCAGCCGCAGCCGACGCGGCTGTCCAGCAGGCCGTCCCCGTCGCCTTCCCGCGCTCCGCCACTCTCGCCCATTCGAGAGCCCAATGCTCCAGTGCCGGAGCCGGCACCGGTACCGGTTGCCAGAGAGAACAAGCCGCCTTCTCCTATTCGTCCTAATCCTATTGCGCATGATGTTCCAAAGCAAAAGGACATCACCGTTCCGCAAGAGAAAATCATCCAAGAACCGCTTGTAGCATCCAAGACACAAACCAAGGCCCCAGAGAAAGAAAAAGCCAAGGAGAAAGAGAAGGAGAAGGAGAAGAAAAAGGATAAAGAGAAGGAGAAGGAGCAGGTGAAGGAGAAAGATAAGAAGGACAAGGAGATGGAGAAGGATCACAAAGAGAAGAAGGAGAAGGATAAAGAGAAGGAAGGTAGCCAGCTGCACAAGGAGCTCAAGGCGGGCGTCGCCGACATGGTGCAGAAGCTCAGCTCTTCGGCGCCGTCGACCGGCGGCGGCCACGAGCGCGCTGGCTCGGCGGCGGCGGGAACGACCATCATCACGCTGGCCGGCGAGAACAAGGGCGCGTCCATGAAGGTAGCCAGCAGCGCCTTGGCCGACGGCAAGGGGGACGCGGCGGGCGGCAAGGAGCGCCGCGGCCACAAGCTCGACGGCAGCGGGAAGGAGCAGGCTGGGGGCGGCAAAGGGCTGACGGCGTTCGTCAACAGCAACGTGCAGGTAACCAACAACTCGCTGCTGCTGCAGAGCTCCTGCAACGGCGGCGACCCGGGGGTGAACCTCAAGCTGTCCACCAAGGCCAAGAAGAAGGACGGCTAGGAAGCCGGGGGCAAGAATGGCTCTGCTGCTGCGCCCAAAAAATGATCAGGCTTCTCATCCATGGCTGGCGCGCGCATGGCCATCGAGCAGTGATGAACAATTATTAGTTAAGCATCCATCAAAACAGAGAGTTGGACCTGGTTAGCATCGATAATTTTATCTGTTATATGTATAATCAATTAATCATGGATGTGAGTTCGCAAAAATCGTGCTGAATGATGCCTATAAAACTTAACAGGACCTGGTTAGCATCGATAATTTTATCTGTTATATGTATAATCAATTAATCATGGATGTGAGTTCGCAAAAATCGTGCTGAATGATGCCTATAAAACTTAACAGGACCTGGTTAGCATCGATAATTTTATCTGTTATATGTATAATCAATTAATCATGGATGTGAGTTCGCAAAAATTCGTGCTGAATGATGCCTGTAAAACTTAACAAGATTCCAAAATGAGCGAATCAAGCAACCGAATCTCTGTGCACATGGTCTGATCTCTTTAAGGAATCTCCAAATGTTACTTGTGAGGAAAAATTGGAACCCACGAACAATAACCGTATTATTTTTTTCTTTGAAATTATCAGTGATAGAGATTGAGAAAAAACACCTCACACCATTTCGGGTTGGATGACTTGCATATATGTAGCCTGAATGGCCTGTATAATAATTGTATTTTTTTCTTGAAATTATTAGTGATAAAGATTGGGAAAAAAACACCTCACACCCTTTAGAGTTGGGTAACTTGCATATATGTAGCTTGAGTGTCATGTGTTACATACACATGTACAAATACATTGATTATAACGCTTTGGGAATTTCTATGATTTTCGGATATTATTCCACTTTTGTAGAGCTAAATACGTTTTTTGAAGTGTCTAGAGATATTTTCATGAGCTATAATAATTGTATTTTAAGGATTTTTTGGAATTTTTTTGAAAGTTTAGAGATATTTTTCTGTGTTTTAAAAACACTATCAAGTATTTACCATTTTTAACTTAAAGGAAAGATAAAACCATCTTCAAAACCACACTGAGGTAATTTGAAAGGTTTTGAAAGTTCAAGGATAAAGTGTCTGGTTTTGAAGTTTGAGAAAAAAAAACTCATTCAGGGAGGTAGAACGTATTTTTTTGGCATACCTAAATACAGGCCCAATGCAAATGTTAACATTTGTTGGGTTCAATTAAGTGTAATCCTTCGGCTCTCTGCGGCTGACTAATGGGCCGGTTCGGCGCGCCAAAGTCCAGTCCAGAGTCTCCCAGCGGCAGCCGAGCTGAGGAAAGAAGGCGGCCTGCCGAATTCTCCTCGTCCTAAAACCCTAACCCCAACTCCCACACTCGTCTTGCCGGCGGCGGGGGCGATGAGGGCTATCACCGGCGGCGGCGTCTCCTCCGAACCCTGTTCCCTCGACAAGGCTGCCCGCACCCTTCTCTGGTTCTCCAAGTCTGCCGCCTCCCACCGACCCTCCTCCGACTGCGATACCTACCTCCGCACCGTGACCGACGCCACAGTACAGCTCATCTACTTCCGCGAAGAACTCGGCGGCAGGCACCAGCAGGGTGCCGCCAACTTCGATGCCCACGACTATGAGGATCCGGTGGAGGGCGATAGAAGGCACCAAGACCAGGAGAGCGAAGGGGACATGGCGGTTGCCGCTTATGGTTCCCATTCCCACCGCGATTCTGCCGCGGGGGCGGACCTAGATCTTGCCTCCTGTAAGAAGAAGGGCAAGAAGAAGAAGAAGAATGAGAATCCCCCGGAGGATAGAGCGGTTGCCCGTGCTGACTCGCACATCCCCCCGTCACCAGAAATTGCCACTGAGAAGAGGAGGAAGAAGAAGCATCCGAATAAGGAAATCATCGTCGATGTGAAGCAGGAGCCTAGTTTCGTGGTGGAAGAAGAGCTGGTGAGTGAAAAGAAGAAGAGCAAGAAGAAAAAGGAGAAGGATCATGTGAAACTGGAAGAGGATGTGAATGAGGTGGAAGAGAAAATAGTCAATGACAGTGCAGCAGAACAGAGAGGGAAAGGAAGAAAAAGAAGCATGGACAAGAGGAAGGCCGCACCGAGGTTGTGAAGGAGGAGAAGACGATCGCTGATGGTGATCTAGACATAGAGAAGAAGAAGAAAAAGAAGAGGGGTAGAGGTGACGTTTATGATAATGCTCTAGAGCAGGTAGAACATACAAAGAAGAAGCAAAAGAAGCATTCTGGAGATTAGTTAGGAGAATACTTACTCATTGGAGATGTATGGGAATTTGTGGCGGGTGAGGTTGTTCCTACTGTTGTATTTTGGGCTTCAATTTGATTAAGGTTGGGCTCTTTTGGCTACTATGCTAGACTCCACAGTTTTGTTCTGTATAACATCCAATTTATATGCCATGGCCATGAGGCTCAAGCAATGATATTACCATTTGAATTGTTACTTGAAATGCTCTGGATTTCGTGTTATACCCTGTTATTAGAATTGCCAATTATACCTAAGAGAAAAAAGGACATAACAAATTATACATACGAAATTTAACATTTTATTGATAATGTGCACACTGAAACAGTTCATTATGTTTTCATTGACTGTTTAACTTTGAAACAGTTCTGCGTGTTTTAATTGATTGTTGATCTCATATTTGGAAGTTGGTCAATTATGCTTTGTCCAGTTTGACTAGCGATTTGAACTGAAAGGCTCATAATAGGGGTTATTGTTTTGCAGCATTAACTTGCTGTAAATTTGATCTCTTGTCCATTAGGCAACTTATTTTATCTATAAAATTCCTGAAATTTCTAGTTGAAGCCTAAAGCCAATTTTGATCGATTGCTGCCTTGGCATATTGATTAATATGGTTACATCTGTTTTGTTCCCCCTCAAGGATTGGCAGATCTGTGCTATCCATGTCTCCATGACGATTTGATTCACAGAATATAGAATATATGAGTTTTCTTGTGTGTTTTTTTTTCCCTTTGCACCAATCATGTGCTGACAATCTCAAGTGATAGTTCAGTATGAACGTATGCTATTTAGACTAAATACTAAAATAATTTCACCTGTCATTCAACTTTGAATTTTCTTATCTTGTAATGGCGTTTGTTTGTTGTAACTGATAGAACGTGACTCTTGCTTGCATTCTTAACCATGGTAACTCACGGACATTTTAATGTTTAGTAGAATTGTACTTTTGGCTTCTGTTCTGATTGCTGAAACCTTCATCTGTCAATTTGAAATTGATAGCATCTGCAAGTTTGCATTACACCATTTGGTCTCATCTAGGTCAAACTAGAATGGTTATGGTTATGCAGGAGCATTCATGAAGCGCTAGAAACTAAGCGGGTGGCCAGGAGCCACCTAGTGCCTAGCAATGTTATCAAATCGTCTAACTGATCCTAGTCGCCACGGCACCAATCAGCCTGACTAATATCTTGACTAATCACGATTAATCGTGACTAATTGTAGTGCATAGCTGATCGCCATGGCACTGATCAGCCCGACTAATCGTGATTAGTCGGACGACTTGATAACATTGGTGCCTAGGCCTTTGTACATTTAGTAACTTATTAATGAACAAAAAATAGAGAAAAGTATGTAAAAAAATGAGAGATCAATGGACGAAATTGGGAATAGTGCCTAGTTGGAATGCCTAGCACTAAGCAAGGTGGTGATGCTCTGCCTAGTGCAGTAGTGCCTGCCCCAAACAAACAAACAGACATATATAGAATTAGCTTGATTGAGCAAAATTCATAGGCAGTTTTGACTCGCTCTGTAATTGTTCTGATAGGCACTTAGGAATCTCTGTGAAATTGCAGCAGACAGACTTACAGAGTTTGACATAACTGATCCCTTGCAAAGACACTTTGGAGTTTTCTGTTTACACAGTTTTCCTTTATTTACCTGAATGGTATAGTTTATACTGTTACTTTTGTTTCTTGAGTTATAGTGATCCCTGAGGTTGCTCAGGGTACAAAAGTATCTTTGCAGACAAAAAAACAGTGAAGAAGAGTCGGTGACTTTTTCAATGAATTCCTTCTGTGTTAATGTCTTATTCTGTTGTGTGGTATTTGGAATGAAGATGGGAAGAACTAAATGTTAGGTGGAGGGTGGTTGAAACTTGTTAATCATTTATTTAAGAAGGTTTCTTTTGGAGTAAGAGCTACAAAACTCTATTTCCTCTCTTAACCTGAGACCACAACCAAGGAGTCCCTGCATGCAGCTTGCAACTGTGGGCAACTAGTCGAATTTGGAGCTGAAACACGTCTCCATAGGAGAACCAGGAGATGGAGAAGAGCAGGATCCTCATCATTGGTGGCACAGGCCACATTGGCAAGCATATTGTTACTGCAAGCGTCCGGCTTGGCCTCCCAACTGCTGTCCTCACCAGGGATTCTGCACCATCTGACCCAGCTAAGGCGCAGCTCATCAAGAGCTTTGCCGATTCCGGTGCTGCTCTCATCAAGGTACCAGTAATCATCTCTATCCGCTATGTGCTACTTTGCACCATTTTTTCTTTCCCTGTTTGCTAAATAATACTATGATAGTGATTTTGACATCTAAAAATAATACTAAAATTTTATTGAGCTCTGTTGATATGCTTAGTAATTCTTATTTGTAGTTAACTACTTGTAGAATAACTTATGAGCTGGGATGTGATGTGCTTTCGCAATATGAACGTTCAAGTATATTGCCAGAACTACTTCAATAGAGCAGATGCATTTTATGCGTTGTTGGACCTGTTCATAGTGGCTCAAGTCACTCTGAAAGTACAGGCTCGCTTGAGGTTTTTCATCTTTCCTCTATGTGTATGCCAGGGAGATGTATTAGACCATGGAAGCCTGGTTAAGGCTGTTAAGTCTGCCGATATAGTCATCTCAGCAGTGGGCCCCCGCCAAGTCGGCGAGCAAACGAGGATCATTGCTGCGATCAAGGAGGCAGGCAATGTCAAGGTCAGTATTAAGCTTTTATTACTGGATTGTTCGCCTCCAAATCTGTACCCTTTTGATGTCTGCAAATCACTGAAGAATCTGTTTTACAGAGGTTTGTGCCATCTGAGTTTGGCTCCGACGTGGACCGCCTGCACACTGTGGATCCGGCGGCGTCACTGTATGCTGTGAAAGCCAACCTCCGGCGTCTGATTGAGGCGGAGGGGATACCTCACACCTACATCAGCTGCAATTGCTTTGCAGAGACCTACCTTCCAAGCATTGGTGATGTCACGGCCATTGGTGCTGGTCCTCCGGCCTCCAAGATCACTGTCCTAGGAGACGGGAGTGCCAAAGGTAACTAAGGGCCATCAGGGCATGTGCCCATCCTACCTACTCCTATTTCATATTACTGCCTGGATCCTTGACGGTCACATGATGATGCAGCTGTGTTCGTGGTGGAAAATGACATTGCTGCCTACACGATGAAGGCAGTCGAGGATCCAAGGACCCTGAACAAGATCCTGTACATGAGGCCTCCTGCGAACGTGGTGTCCCACAACGAGCTCATCTCGATGTGGGAGAAGAAGACCGGCAGGACCTTGCAGAAGGAGCACGTCCCAGAGGAGGACATTCTGAAGTGGATCAAAGGTACTGGTTATCATCGTTGGCGTATTTCGTACGCGCATCTTCTCATCTCTAGTACACCTGCTGCCTCCCATACGCATATCGTTCTGGAGCCTTGTTAAGGTTGGATGGATGCCTGAATGCAGAAGCGGCGTTCCCTCTGAACATACTGCTGTCCCTGGGGCTCTCCACCTTCGTCAGGGGCGAGCAGGCCAACTTCGACATCAACCCGGCTGTTGGCGTGGAGGCCACCCAGCTTTACCCTGACGTCGCCTACACCACCGTCGATGAGTACCTCAACCGCCTTATTTAATTTAATATAGGTAGGAGACTTTGGATGCAAGTGACCGGTCACTGTCTCACCGGCTGATCTGTGTTTGGAAATGATAAGCCAGCGTCTTGCTGGCCGTACTGCTATTTTGTTATTGGGGCCTGTTTGGTTCTAGCCCTGGGCAAGTTGCTTGGACATTTAAGCTGCCTGTGACATGCCAGTTATAGTTGGTAAAATTGCCTGGTCAGGCATGCTCTGGTTTCATAGTGTTGTTTGGTTGAAGCCCTGAAATTGTGCCTGTGTGAAGAGAAGGAGCAGGCAGTGTCTGGTTCAGCAAGTGCCTGTGTTTGAATCAACATTGAGCTTGTCGCATCTTTCTTGATCCTGTAAAGAATCTGCCGTTGCTGTAGCAGATCAAAGGGCAAGTTTCAGCATTTTTTTTTTACCTCTGACCAAAAGGACAGTAAAAAAAGTGGAAATCAAAGGCGCTTGCCGTTAGGAAAAAATTGGATCGACTTTACAGAGAGAGAAAAGTACACACAGCATAGGGAAAATGGCAGATTTTGCCGAGATGGAAACAAAGAACAAAGATATAAATAAAAACATGAACGCAAAATCCATGGGATTGCAGTCACAGTTAGTACCCAGATAGAGCTAGTGTTGTGTTGCAATGGAAGGAGTAAAAAATGAAAAAGAAAAAAAAAAGCTTTCTTCAGACCAAGCCATGAATTGTAGGGGAAAGAAAAAAATGCTAACCACGAATCGAGCAGGATTTGAACTGGCTTGCAGCAACCACAAGCTTCAACAGATGGAGAAGTCATGAAACACGAGATCTAGATTCTAATTAATTAGCTCTTTTTTGAACACGAGATAGAGGCAACGACCAGGGGATTAGCAGCGTTGAGGAGCAGAACCTTGCCTTCAACGACCAGGGGGATAAAGTAGAGGTATTATTGTCTCCCTTCAGCTAGAACTTTGCCTTCAACTTTTTAATAAGAGTTAAATGCATGAGGGTCTCTAAACTTATCAAGGGGCCATGAGCTTTAAAAATATATTTTTGGATTCTTAAACTTTAAGGAATATCATTTAGGTCCACGAGCTTTAAAAATGTATTTCTGGATTTTCAAACTTGTCAAGTGGTGCATCGCAGGTCTATATCGTCCACGTATGCATTTCTTGTTAAGGTGTCATCCAACATGGCATGCATATACTCCCTCCGTTCACAAAAGAATGCAATTGTGTGAATCGCGCGGGTCAAACTAGATTAAATTTGATTAAGTTTATAGTAAATAATATTACCATTTAATCTCTAAGTAAATTTATTATAAAAATATATTATGTAACTAATCTAATGATACTTATTTTGTCTCACGAGTGTTAACAGTTTTTTATATAATTTTAGTCAAAATTTAAACTGTTTGACTCTTTGAAATGGGAGAATGTAATTCTATGGTGGACGGAGGTAGTACATTTAACTCTTCTCCTTTTTCTCCCGAGAATCGATCCTTTCCTCAAGTTCCTCTCTTCCTCCCTTCTTTCTATTATCCCCAGGCACCGAAGCCGGCCTGCTGTCATGCTGTGAGGGACAATGTGCTGTGACGGGAGCAGTGGCGTCGCCACCTGCTGCAGCGAAATTTGTTTTATGCGACGGTGCTACATACAGTAGGGCTCTTCATGCGAAGACCCTCAGATGCTCTACGCCTGGGTGCATGGAACGCTGGCCTCACTAGATGCTCGTTAGTCAGCAGCATGCTGATAAGTATAAATGTCCATGCAGTTCGAGGCACGGCAGCCTGACACGAAACACGCAATTTTTGCCCGGACCAAGCACGGCACGGCCCAATAGTCAGCGGGTCTAGGCTGGCCCAGCCCGAGGGAGCAGGCCGTGCCTGGACGTTACCCTAGGCACGTGGGCTAGCACGGCACAGCCCGGTCCATAGAGTGCGGCCCGGGGCAGCCGGCCTGCTAAGCCCCAGCCACCACCCCCAACTCTCCCAGTGCCCCACCGGCCCACTCCTAGAACCCTAACTCCCTTTCCCTTCCATTCCCCCCATGCAGACGCAGTCCCTCCCCACGCCGCAGCTGCAGTGCCACACGCGCTCCTCCTCCTCATCTCTGCGCCGGCGCCGCGGACGCCCCCTCCCCTTCCCTCGCGTCGGGCGAGGCGAGAGCGGACGAGGGACCGGGAGTCCAGGATGCCTCCTCCCTCTCCTCGGCGTCCTCGGCTCCTCGCACGACCTCTCCTCTCCTCGCAGCGCGGACGCTGACGCCCCCTGCCCCTCCTTCTCCTCGAGCGACGCCACTGCGGGAGCGAGCACGCCGGCCCCAAGCTCCGCCTCGACGCAGATCCGGTGCCAAGACAAGCTCGCCGCGCGGGCGGTGGCCATTGCCATCTCCGACCTCGCGCTGCCTCCTTCCTCGATCCCTCCTCCACCAGATTTGCGACGTCCGTCGTCCTCCTCACCATCCCTCGCCTTCACGGCTGCGCTGGATCTTCTCCGCCGTGGATCTGGCCACGCTGGGTCTTCTCCACTACGGATCCGGCTCGCCTCGACGCTGGCGCGGCGCCTCCTCCCCGTCCCTGCCTCCCTCCCTCCCTCACTCTCTGTCGCAGAACCGACCAATTTATAAGAATACAAGTACAATGGCAATCCACAAGCGGTCGCACTGTCATACTTGAACCCATATAAACCCGGTAGTCCGTCCGAGTACCACGACGGGTCTCGATAAACGATTTACAACAACCAAGATCGTACAGGATTCAACATACATGCCACATATTACATAAAGTTCACGAGATACTTTTCATCATCGAGTCTGAATAAAAGTTATTACAAACCGAGTTTGATAAATAAAGCGGAAGCAAATAAGTTCAAGATAAAGTTTCCAACATAGTTTGATACAATGCCAAGCTAGATCACGGTCCACAAAAGCAAGGATAGGAATTACTAAAGAAGCACGCCCAAGGCTTACTCCTCATCCACAGCGGGATAGAAGCAACTCTTGCAATAACCATGATACACAGTGCCATCTGCAACATTGGGAAAATAAACCCTGAGTACGAGAAGGTACTCACTAGACTTACCCGTCATGAACCGTAAAATAAAAGTGACTCCAAGGATTATGCAAGGTCAGTATAAGTGGATGTAACTTGACAACATTTTTATGTAAAAGCAATTAAATCATGGTATAGTTACTAATTCTTTACCAAGTTAATTATAACTATTCATTTCTAGGTTAGCAAGTATCCTATGCCAAACATGTGGTATATCCTTTAGAAGCATACAATAGTAACCATAGCAAGTATTGTAATTCCATTTTCGTACGAACCATCATGTTCCATAACACGATTACTACGATGTTGGGACTAGCCAAGTTTCTCACTATCCGGAGAGACGGCGATTCAATCGATTTCAACCACCGAAATTTATTCCTAACACAAACCCAGTCTACCACCACGATAGCCTTAGGTCACCTTTGGTACAACTCCGGTACATATTTCATGGGGGTCCAGATCTTTGCGTCGCTGTCTGGAACACCAGATGCCAGGATGCTCAGCCAAGCCTGCCTTGGGCTCGACCGATCGTTCCCGGAAGGAGCACACAACAGTAGCGATTCTGGCCCGAGTTGAATTACTCGGCCAGCGGTCGGAACGAGTTATCCGCCAGCTAAGTGAGAGGCATGCGTTCAATCTTGTCGAAGCACCAACAACGATACGGTCCTTAATCGACACAGACGGGATAGATCCACACCCAAGACCTCCATGTCTTGTTGCTTCTCTATCGACATCCCGCCTTGGTCTCCGCTTTACATTAACCATGGTTCTTTTCCACGATAGCAATTATAACCCACCGTGCTCCGGTATCCACCTATATCTCGCAGTGACAGAAATCACCCGACTTCTACCGGTGCGAGCATGGCTAAGCATATGTTCGATCCTCGGACCTATACGGTTAAAGGGTAATATCTGGACAAGGAATGTACATGCATCAAGTGGTTTCATTCAACTCTTATAACCTAATGCAGCAATCATAAATACTTAAGTAAACATTTGTAAATTACTAGGAGACTTATAATGCTCCGGGCTTGCCTCATGAGAAAGGAAGTAGGGCGATGGTCGACACACTCGAAAGCTCTTCGAGGTTCTCGCTCACGCCTTCGAGAGTCTGCGGCTTGCGGATCCTCCTGCGGGTTCCCTTCCTCTCGCTTCTTCTTCAATTCCAAAGAACGTGATCTCTTCCTCCGATCCTAGATGCATGAGTATGGTATAAGTATTACGAATGCATATATGTTAACAAGTGCATCACGTTGTTTGAGTAGGTGCATATCTCTTCTCGATTATTACTTAACTACTTCTACAATGCATCGATTATGTCACAAACTGTAGCTACTTGTTTCACTCATAACCGGAGTTCTACAAATCCAAAAACAGTGATCTAGGACTTTCTGGAAAGCTTATCCAATTCTCTACAACTTTGTTATTAACCATTTTTACAGTACACATCAGTTTCAACATGCAAATCCTCACACTCTAGAATCAGTCCGAAAATGATTTAACATGCAATATAAAGTAAGAATACTTCTACTTTATGTAATCATTCACAATTTGACAACCTAGAACCTACCAACAGTTTAAGCATACCAAATATAGTTAAGATAATATAATGGTGAAGCCCAAACTATTTATTAGATTGCCTTTATTATTTTATTTAAATATCTAGGTTAAATAATAAATATATATCATATGTGCTTAATAAATTCTCAAAAATTTACAGAGCCTTACTACTGCTATCAAAGGACTACTATAAAAAATTCATGTCATTTTACTAAGTAGAACATCCTATACAAAAATGATAGGGAAGCAAGGCTTGAAATAGCATAAATGGAAAATCCTATTGAAAAGTGTCAAGCAACAGATTTCTTATTTTTCCTAACATCCATGTGGTACTAGTATTACCTCCAACAAATTTCATGAATTTTGGACTCATAATTAATTTATAAAAATTCATGCAAGGATTAACTATTTATAAAAGAAAAATCTA